CATCCTATAAAGCCATGAGCCATCGTCCTTCCTCCACCCTACTTTGTAATGAGCTCCAATAACAACCCCTGACATACCATGAAATGATTATCAGTATGAGTAGGCCATTTCCACATCACCCCATTTTATTGTCAGCATAACTCTCTCATAAACCTACAACAGATGACTCTGCTTGACTGACACTTGGCCTCCTGATTATTGGGAAAAATAGATAGTTGGAAATGAAGCCCACTTAGTATTTTGACTCTCCAACCTCCTAAATTTGCTGCTGTAAGTTTGGTGTTTGTTGATTCTTTCTTACAGGAGTAGACAAACTTCAACCTCCAGGAGATAATAAGGCAAACTTTTATTTTTTTAATATTTTATTTTATATAATTCTTACATCATTTTTCATCTTTGCACACACAATGTGCATTTTCATTATGGTTATATTCCCCATACAATTGCACCCCCCCTTATTTTGACTCTAGTCCTTCCTCTCCCCGCTCTTCCATCTCCCCCCACCATAGTGTGTCTCTGGTTTATATTTGCTTGTTGATTTTGATTTTTACTTTGTATTGATTAGTCTTTTTCCTGGTCTCTTACTTAAGTTTTCTAAATTCCTGCTATGAGTGAGACCATCCAGTATTTTTCTTTTTCTTTCTGACTTATTTTGCTGAACATGATCCCTTCTAGCTCCATCCATGTTGCTGCAAACTGCATGTGTTTATATTTTTTGAATGCTGAGTAATATTCCATTGTGTATATGTACCACATCTTGATCCAGTCATCTATTTTTGGGCATTTGGGTTGTTTGCATAGCTTAGCTATTGTAAATAGTGATGCTATAAACATAGGGATGCAGGTGCCCTTTGGAATTAATGTTTCTGTGTCATTTGGGTAAATACCTAGGAGTGGAATTGCTGGATCATATGGAAGCTCTATGTTTAGTAGGTCAAGAAATCTCCACACAGCTCTCCATAGTGGTTGGACCAGTTAGTGAAGGCAAAGATAAACAGCTGGGACTACATCAAATTAAAGAGCTTCTGCAAAGCATAAGAGATAATAACCAAAACAAAGAGAAACCCCACTGACTGGGAGAAAATTTTTGCACACAACACTAATGATAAAGGCAAACTTTTAATCTCACCCCAAGCACAGCAAGGCTGGCTGAGCCCTGCATTTGATTGCATAAAAATGTAAAATGTGGGCAGGTAGCTTCTTCATTCACCCAATACCATGACTGCCTTCTCTGCCCCCCTTCCTCAAGCCCAGACCATCCTGGTCTCCCTTGGATGAACAAATGTCTCATTTGGCTCCTTTCATACCAAGCTCCTTCTCATTGGCTCTTCTGACACTTGGCCCTATGATACTCTTAAAGCTGTTCTTCATCAGTTACATATTTGTCATCAAGCCCAGTCATCTCCTTATATATTCAACCTGTTGAAGGGGATATCTGTGTTGAATAAGTGGCTTTGAAATTGAAATTCTCTTTATTTTTCTGGTTCTCTTCTTTTTGCCTACCAACCTTTATATGACCTCTGCTGACAATCTAGATACCTATCAAAAGGTTGAGATCCTCCCCTTTTTCGGAGTGGTGTCAGTGTCGACATCACATTCATCTCTCCTTCCATAATTATGTACCCTCTAGAAGTCTGTTTAATGTTCAGTGGCCCCTCAAAGTCAACAGGTCTATGGAACCCAGTGTCTATGCCCAGAGATAATTTTCTTTTTTCTGTCTTTGCCCTTCATCTGCAATAATAACACCAGTAGGCAGAGAGTCTGAGCACAACCTCTCCTTCACCCTGTCTTCTTCTATAAGCAACTCTTGAATTGGTCACATTCTCTTCATCCCTACTATCTGTCTTGTCTTTTTTTGAAGTTGTGGCTACAATCTGGCTAAGGTAAGGGATGTCACCCAGTGGATTGATAGATACAAATATACACACCAACTCCCAAAGTTGCACATAAACATGGTTATACACATATGCCTTGATATCACACCACATAAAATCATCAGTCATATGAGATATATAGTTCCTTCTGGTTCCAGGCACACAGAAGACACCAGTGAACTCATCACTGCTGAGCAAATTAAATGTAGACCCAGCAGCAAATAGAGATAGGCATTTGTCAATCATGAGAAATATACATGTAAATTACATAGACAGAAGGAGTGTCCCAAACACAGAAACACAGTCTTGGGCAAATATACTTTGAGGCTTCTCTCATTGGGGGACAAATGTAGAGCTGGAATCTAGAGGATATCCTGGCCCCCATCCTTCTTTTACCAAACCCCACTGCATGTCTGGAGGTATCTCTGCAATTGCTCACTTCCCTGATTCCTCTTCCAGATTTCTGTTTCCCATCCTGAGACCCAGAGCTTCCTGCTTCTCTCCTTAGACATATTAGACACTGGTGTTGACACTGTGGGCTGGTTGCCAAGCTTCTGGGTTGCTGTGAAACTCAGGAAAATAGACTGCCTGCTGTGGATTTGACCAGCTGCCGAGCTAGGGGTCATAGGAAGTAGGAATGGTGGGACCTGACCATTCTGGACACCCATGAGTACAAAGATAACATCTGTTCACAGGCTTGAATCCACAAACAAGCCCTTTATTACAAACAACAGAAAATTTGTTATTGACAATACAGTATGCTTCCTCATTGCTTGAGATACAGCTACACACACATTGTTGTAATGAACCGAAGCCTATGTTGCTCTATTATAGAGCTGAATCACCAGTCCCTCACATTTATACAGGACTTTAAATCTGTTCAAAGTGCTGTTCTAGACATTCTCTCATCTGAGCCTCAAGACTTCTTTTATTGTAAATGAGCTTCACATATCGCATGTATTTTGCATATCTTCTATCCTCTTGCCATCCCCTAAAAAACCAACAGAATCTTCATAGACATTATACATCAGTGTTTTATGAGTATTCTCATGCTGCATTGCATTGTTTCTCCTTGTCTTTTCCCTTCTCTTTTCTCTATGCTGTGTTTTGCTTGCTTGTGCTGGGTAATTATTGTTCTTTGGATTGTTTAGCTGGTTTTTATTTAATCCTTACTTTTTCTTCTCACTGTCTTTTCCATAGACACATTCCAGTTTTCTGTCTTTACTTGAATATTGAGTCTTTGAATATTGAGTCTTCTTAGAGACCAAATTTTTTTATTGTTGTTTTTGTTTTTTAATTTAGACTCATCTATTGAGATTTTGATATTATTCGAGTACACTGAATATAATTTATATAAAACAGAAGATGCCCAATATGATATTCTATATTTTCTTACACATTTTATCCTATCTTCTCATTGCTAGTTAGGTCATTTGGAACAACTTATATAGCCTTTCAGAACTGGATATTCATCACTGGTTAAGAAAGGTTATTTACTTAGGAGCTTTATTGTGAGCATGAGGTGACACATGAAAAGTACCTAGCACTCTGGCCAACACAGGCTTGCTCTGCAGTTTTATATAATGGCACCTGGAGATGGTGATTGTGGTCAGAATATGGTCTCCATAGCCCCCTTATAGGTAACTAACCAAGATTATCCCCCATTGACAAACCCGAGTTTAATCTTACCCTGAGAGTGAACATTTAGCTTGTTTTCCATTTTTGCCCTTTACAAATTATATATCACTCAGTATCTTCCTGTGTACTGTTTTGTTCTTTTTTCGCATTTAGCTCCAGATGTATTCCTAGGAGTAAAAGTACAGAGCGAAGGGATATATGCATTTGTAAGTTTGTGTTAGATAAATACTGCTCCGTGGCTTCCCACAGGGACACCATCAGTTACATTCTACCAAAATCAAGGGAAAGACTATAAGTTTCTTTTGTCTTTTTGGTGTTGGGAATTGATCTTGTTTCTTGTTTGATATTTGTTATATGAATTTTCCTTTAAAACTATGTGACTTTATATATAAATAATGAGATTGCATGTTATATATGATGGGAGTTTACTTACAAGGAGATAGGTGAGATTATAACACATACACACACACACACACACACACACAGATTGTGTGTGCCCATTTTTCCGCTATCATTTCTCACAGGATTTTGGTTGGAACCTATAGTCCAAAGTTTGAGATGCTTACTTTTGATGTATGAAAGTAATTTTAGTATGTGAATTAAATGAGATTGGTTTATATGTTAAAAATTATTTTCCACTGTCAATTCTTTTTTGCTGTTCTGACCAGATCAAGGAGAAGGTCTAAGCTTGGTGCTAACAACTTTTGACACCCCCTGAAGCCCTTTCTTATCTCCCTGTTAAAAAGGGGAGCTTTTTCTGAAAGTTTCAGGCTCACATTTAATAACATCATTTGGTCTTCAGAATGTTTAGTTATATGTTTTCCTACTTTTTGTGGATAGTGTTACTGACGCTTTATTTAAAATAATAATGTTAAGTTTCCTCTTTTTCATGTTCTTTTTGAATTAAAAAGGTGATTTATAGATTGGGCAGAAATCCTGGGGTGTTGTTCCAAAGACTGAGGTGGGGAAACCATTCCGATAGTCAACCTACTACTACTAACCATAAATGATCTTGAGTAAACATTGACTAAGAGCCTCCCTAATACCTGACATAGCTTGGAACTGTGCAGTGGCCCCTTTATCCCTATTCATTTGGGTGTGCAAGGCCTTTGCAGCTGGCCGTGAAGAGAGTTACTTATATCCTGTGAGTGCTGTAGGTTCCTGGCCAGGTGAGTAATCTCCTCACCTGGCAGATTAAAAATGAGAATAAACAAGCACTGTGGGATGTATAAATCAAGACTGACATTGTGAATAAAGTGATTCAGAAGATGGGATTAAATAGGTTAATGATAGTCATTGTGAATCACAATGTCAGCTTTAGTATGATTCCAACAATGTACTTACTAACGCTAATGAGGTTTGATAGAATAAAATTAACAATGTCCAAACAGCCCTATGCTTTCACACAAAGGAGCTGTATTTCAGAACAGATGATGTATCCTTTCTGTGGGGAATTTTAGCCAATTGATTTTGTTTTCTCCTTTACAGGATATATTTAAATTCGCCAGAACTTCTCCAGTCCCAAGACAAAAGAGGTCCATTGTGGTATCTCCCATTTTAATTCCAGAGAATCAGAGACAACCTTTCCCAAGAGATGTTGGCAAGGTAAGTCCGACAAAAGGCAAATGGCAAATGCCTGCTTTTACTTAGAGACAAGTACACATGAGGGAAGCTGACTGCATCTGTCTGGGTGACCAGCTGGGTTTGTTCTCAGTTTCTTGTTGATCAGAGAACAAATGGTCTTTTCAAGTAAAGAATGTCAAAAGATCATCAAACAATAATAAGAGGAAGACAGTCACAAGGAGATCTGGGTTATAAGCATTTAGGCAGAGACCTAGAGAAAGAATGGGGCGTATCTGAGAACAAATGTCTGGCTGACTGCCATGAGGTGGGAGAAATAGAGTGAAAAGATGGAAGTTAAGTAAGCGGGATAGCCATGTGGGCCATGGAGCCATGGTGAGCAATAGGGAATTCATGGTACATGCATGCAGAAAGAAGCTTCTGGAAAGTCTCCCAGGTGTGTGTGTGTGTATGTGTGTGTTTTATAAGATTTCTCTGGCTACCTTCAGGAAAGGATTTGTGGATTTGTGGAAACAGAACAATAGGGAGGAATATGCACCAAATACCTTAAAAGATTTTAAAGTCATCTGGGCAAGAGGTGAGGGTGACTTTGACTATCAGAATTCTATTTATATTGGAAAAGAGACACATATTCACTATCCTGGTAATCACCTTATTTGTGATTTTAAAGTGCTGCTATGCCAAAGATGCCTTTCTTTAAGCAAAATCTTACAGGGAGTCCAGTATATAATGCAAAGTGCAACAGGGCTGCTCTGAGTGGGCACAGGGGTTACTGAGCCCTACCCCTTTGGACAGCCCTAGCTACCATGATGGTCATGTGTACATACCAGATTCCCCAAGTCAAAAGACTGTGTCCCCAAATCTCTTGTGTCTTTCCGAAACATAAAAGCATCTGCCTTATACAATCCCTTGTTCTCAACCCTCAGCACCCAATTAAAATACATATACTAGATTCCACCCTCAGAGATTGACTCAATAGATCAGGGGTAAGGTCCAAGCATCAATATTTTTTAGAAGATTCAAGGCAATTCTGATGTGCAGCCAGGATTAAAAACCACTGGTGTGACTCAGTCCTACATCAAGAGTGGCTACAGATCAGCAGCCTTGCATGACCTCATGGTTTGCTTAAATGCCACACTCCCACCCCAGAACCAACGAGACAGAAACTCTTGGGATGAGGTGAGGAATCTGGGTGATTCTGAGACACACTCAAGTTTACATAAATCTAATCTAAAATATCTTCTCTAGTCCTACCTACCACTGACATTTAATACTTTGAGTACTGGATTTTCAACTTCTTTGAGTAGATTATGACAAGGGAGATCATATATCTCAGTTGTCTGAAAATTGCTTGTCTTGACATGATTATTAGCATCTTTCCCCTTAAATGTGTCCAGATTTGGACAATAAATTATGTGGTCATCTCACAGTTGCCTCCAATCTCACGCATTTCTATACCACTGGGTATGTCTGAGTAGACTCACACGCCTCCTTCTTCAAGATGTATAGGAGTCAATAAGCATGCCAGCCAGCGAGGAACATTCTCCATCATTTACTTGTTACATCCTCAACGCATGGTCTAGTTTGCCAGTTGAGGACTTGGGCCTTCATAGCCGCTTATGTTCTGCCCACGGACTAATCCTGAATTCTCTACACAGCAACTGTTTTTCAAAGTGTGATCGTTTACTAACATTATAATGTATGGGAGTCTCCCAACCTCCAGGTGGTTTTTGCAAGATAATTGTATGGTCTTGGGAATACTATTTGTTTGTCCATGATTTTTATGCTTTTGAAGGAACACATTTTTTTCTTTGTGTCTGCTTTTTATTCATACATCATCTCCTCTTTATGTCTTATATATTGTATCCTTGTCGACTCCACCAGAAGCTGACAAGGATGCTCTGCAGAGCTGTGAGAGAGCAGATAGGTGTGTCTTCAGTGAGTGCTGGGAGGCAGGGAGAAAGGAACCAGACCAGAGGGGCTGGGCTGTAGCCTCACATGGCGCTCCTCTCCTCTCCCCACCCTCTGAGTCAGAGCAACTCTGATTTTATAAATATATATCAGAGTTCAGCGTAGAATGCTATTTGAAGAAGAGATTCTGTAGTTATAAAAGTATAAAGATGCTTGTCTTACTTTGGGTTGCTTCCAGAAGCTGACCCTGAGACAAAAATTCCAATGCAGAGAGTTTATATAGGAGTTGATGAGAATGCGATAAGGAAATGAGGAAGCCAGACGGGGAAGAGAAAGCAATCAATCCAGCAGCCTGTTCATCAAGGCAGCTGCCACTGTGAGTGATGGATTTTAACCCCATAGGGAAGCGCAAGGAAATGGGGCAGACAACAGGCTAAGGGCGTGCAGTCCACAGCAGGGGAGCTGGGAGGTTTATATACCAACCTCCCTCATTCTTCAGTCGGGCTGCTCCCAGAGGCATGAATTCTGTTGCACATCCAGCCTGCTCTGCTGTATACACCCAATCAAGGGCATGCTGAGACCTGGAGGAGAGCCTTCAGGCAGGGAGAGCTCCATGGCAGCTGGAACTCTGCTGAAATGCCTGGGGACGTGAGGTCTGGGGTATGGGCACAGGAGTTTGCTCCATCACTAAACTTGGTTAAAATACTTTTGTGTTGCAGGCTGGGTTTTCTCTGCCTTTGTCTCATCCTCTGCTTCCACCTCATTTCCTGAACTAACTTTCTTGTGTCTAATGCCTTTGAAGCTACTGCTCTTGCCTCTCTCCATTAATAAGTACTTGCTACAGCCCAGGAGGGAAAAATCTCTGAAACTCAGGACATTTTATATCAACAAGCCTATATCCAGTCTTTGCTATTTACAAGGCATTGTGCTAACGACTGGGGATTTAAAGACAAAGGAAACAGACAGAGAGACCTTGATCTTGTAGGATTATGGAAGAATGAGGAAAATCATCACCAATTCACTCCTTGCCTAGTACTGTAACATAGAAGCACTTTTCAAGTATTATATTGAATTTTCATAATAACCACCCTATGAGGATCACCTTCCAATATGCCAAATGAGGGTAAGGAGACTCAGAGAGCTGAAACCACCTGTCAGAAGTCACACAGTTGCTTAATAGCAGAGATAAGCTTTGCACCAGCTCTTGGAGATTTCAAAGTCTGTGCTGTAACCAACACACTAAGGGATGCTAAATACCATCTATTAATTCACTTATATCTAATGAAATATCCTGCTGATAATTACTGTCTTTAAAATAGCATTAAAATTAAGTTTACTTCTTCAATATACACCAAAAAAAAATAAGATGCATAGACAGATGGCTCAGTGGATTACTGAAACAAGTATAGGATATGATAAAGCAAGTATAGTCAAATGTTAATGAGCATTTGGTGGGTCGCTGTAAACTTCTTTCTACTTTCCTATGTGTTTGTAAATTCCATAATACAAAAATGGGAAAAAAGTATAATTAAATCTTAAATTACTTTGAAGATAGATGAATTGGCATGCTGACGCTAAAGTACTTTTTGTTGGTTTGTCTTGCATTTCAGAGGGTGAATAGAGACTAAGTATCTTTTCATTTCTTTTTTTTCTCTCTCTCACTTTTTCTCATACTCTGAATTCCCCTAAAGAAAGGAGACCCATATAACTAAAGGATAAAGACACAAATAGCAAGGTGCTGGAGAAAATTTGCTTGGAGTGGGGTGGGTAGGAGGAGGCATGGAGGATGAAGTGCTGTCAGTGTGGGTCCCAGTTCAGGATCCTGCCATGTAGGATTGGATATTCACAGAGAGCTGGGCTGGCTCAGGGAATTAGATGGAGTCCTGACTGATGCATAATTTACTTATCAGCTGAGTAATGAGTTAACCAGTAAGTAAATAAATTACTAGAATATTGAGTATGCTTTTCCATCATAAAAATCATTTTATTGCCCCAATTTCTGTTTTGTTAATATGTGCTTGACCAGATGTTCTGTGAGCACAAAGAGTGAAGGAATCCCCAACTTTTGGGAGACATACCAAATTACACCCAGTCATAGGAGAGTTAATTTGTCTCCAAATTTCTGGTCCCTCCCCATAGTATATCTGCCCTAAAATCTCTTTCAGTGTTTGAGTGGGGAAAAAAAGCAAAAAACCAAGCAGTGAGGGCACCTCTCAAACCTGTGACTTCTTCCCAATTTTTGAATTCTAGATAGCCTGGAGGATCCAGAAGTTCATGCCCTGGAGAGAAATGTGTAGTTCCAAGCATGTGCTTATTTTCTTCCCCCTTTGAAGTATGACTATTTCAAAATTTTAACCACAAATAATTTCTCAGTTTTACCAACTTTTGCTGATAAATATTTGATTGCATCTCTAAAGATTTTCGAGTTCTTAAGTCTGATTGATTGAGAGTAGGGGACTTTAAATCTGTGAGGCAGCAAGGAGGTCTATGGGACATGTGTTTTATTCTGTTTTATATTAAGTTTGAAAGACAAGTCATTTATGATATGCTTATTAGAGATTCCACTTTCATCACAAACCCTTTTAATCAAAACCAATGAAAGTACATTTTACTGAAAATCTTTTTTTATATCCCCTATAAATTGGTAGAATGGGCCTTTAGATGGACATCTTTTAACCCAGGATGGAAGAAATATGTAATTGGACCATGTTCTCTTCATAAAGGGAATTAACATAGATCATTAGACCAAATCATGAAAACCACTCAACCAGGACCCTACTTTGATTGTGTCATGAACGTAGTAAGTCATACATGAAGACAATTTATGCAGCTCTTCAGTATTTCTCAGAGTTCTGGGGCACACTACTTACTAGAGGTCTTCTCACTGCAAGTCCTCTGTACCTCCCACTTATGCCCACCTATGCATGTGGATGCCAAAGAGTCTGAAGGTCTCGAATTGACCATCATTTGTATCACTTTGAGATCCCACAGATGTCAAGCTGATCCTCAGAAGCTGGGTTAGAAAGTAGGTACTGGATCCCAGCACCCCTCCATCTCATCCTTTATTTAAACAAAGTTAGCTCATGTTGCTCCATTCTATTGCCTGACTTATT